TTGAAATCTTTTCCTAGAACCTATCGTTTCCGATTTTCCAAAATTATAAAAGTGAAGTATCAAGGCCAACGTCTTTAAAATATCATTACTGATATGGGAAAGACATCCTATTTCTTTTTTCCAAAAATGGAAATGCACAGATTATTTTACCACCACTTCTTTCTCTAAAACGGGTCATTTTATGTCGATAACAACGGTACATTAAAGGGAAGCTCAGTCTACTTGATCCCAGAGGACTGTCAATGTTTTTTCTCAATACAGCTTTCAACCAAATAATAAACCAATTTTTGGTCACGTTTCCTGTGAAGATTACGGCTGTCTTAGACAGCTGTATCTTAAACTGAGTGGTTTACATCACGCTTTTAAAACTATCAGGTCTGAACTCACCATTTTTCATTTACTACAACTGTAAACTTGCAAGACTTAGCCTGTTTAAAATGTCACCACTGTGAAAGGGACAACTTCCTTGAATTTTTTTTTTCGCATTTGAAAGATGAAAAATTAAATAAAAACTACCAGCCAAACTAGGCCGCATCAATACTCGCACCATGCATTCGTGACAAAAAAAAAAATACGTAAGTGTCCATTTACCTTTCAAAGTTGAGTTTCTTCGATGGTGGAGTAATTTTCTATTGAACTTAAAGCGTGAGAAGCGCACAGAAGGCTCGAAGTGCTAGTATTGTTTTGGCATACTATCAAAACATACGTATTCAAGCGTTTGATGACCAATTGTCAAGGCTATTGAAACAAAAGGCTTACTAACAGATTGTTATCTATTAATCAATTACTAATGACAAGTTTCACTTTAAACTAAAATTAGCACAAACCAGCTGAAACCATATGAAAACAGAATTAACTTTATCCCCGGGAAGAGTCTATTTATCATCAATCACTTTTACCTCGTCCGATCCCATATATCTATTTTATCTTATTAAAGCGGTGCTCACAAAGCCAACCATACCTACGAAATTTGCTAACTCATCAAGCCGAGAAAATTCATATGACCGTACTACTGGTGAAATCAAATTTGAACTCATTCAAATAATGTGCAAACATTGACCCAAATATCTCTCTATTCACTCGCTTTAAAAAAAATTATTGCAAGGTTTATTTAGTTGTTCGATCTTCTCTTGAAAAATGGAACTTTCTCAAAATATCAAGCCTTGATGGCTTACTGCACAGTTAAAAATCTATATGCTATACGAGTGTTAGCTGTGTTTGATTTTTATTACCGTACGTAAGCTTGCAATCTAACTGAGCGTGAAAATCTTTAAAACTCGGAATGTTTATTTTGTTTTTCCTTTTAGGATTTTCGTATCTGCTCACGTTTTAATAACGTAAATTACGGCGCCTGGTATGTTTACAAACCTTTGTTTGATTCTTCTGTTGCTACTTGCCGGCTCGCTTCAGTTCCGAAATTTCACTTTCAATTATCGGAAAAAAGCTAAAAAGAAGTCCCAGAAAAGGTCGAACATAGTACAATTGGCAGATGGCGTGACAGCTGTAGCTCAGCTCTATGCTCTATACTCTCGTAGAGCACGCTTTCAACCAATGACAGCGCGCGTTATATCTGAACTTTATTATAAATTCCTATTGTACACGCTCATGACGTCAGCAAACAAATCCCTCGAGAAAAAATTTTCCAT